CAAATTATCATTCAAACCAAGTAAACTAACTTTGATTTTATTAATCCATGTCTATTAGCATAAGATTAAAAAAAATTATTGCAAGTTTGCCATGTAAACAAAATTTAAAGGTTTATATTCTTAACACGCTTAAATTCCTTATTCTAATAATTTAAAACAATGAATTCTGACAGGTAATCTAAACGTGCTTACTGCACAGGCATGCATAATTATTTTAGATCAAACATGCTGCAGTCATCTACTGTGAAGTAACCATCCATTCTACAGGAATCCCTATGCTCACAAGGACAAGAGCTGTATGAAAAAAAACACCAAAAGGTCAGATTTCTTAATTATTTTCAAATCAATAAAATCACGTCTTTTTCAGTATCAGTCAGGCATTGAGCTTGAGCTCTAACCTTTTCTTTTAAGCTCACCTGAACCATTTTAAGGCCTAAGTAAGTTTTTTTTATCAGTGTCTGATGTTGTCTGTCATCTATAAACTTTTCACATTTTTATATTTATCAGAATTAATCCTAATTTGAACAAAAAATTGCAAGATAGTGAATTCATATTCTACGTACTAAACTGATTTGCCAGGTCGAGAAATTCTGAAAAACAATTGTTTTGTATAGTTTTAGTTCATTATTTGTCATATATTTATATGGATATCAATAATGATGCATCTTAATGGTCATCTTTTCTTTCAGAAATTGTGCAAGGAAAGTTTGAAGTGTCTGCGGGAATGATCATCATCCAACTTTCTGAGCCTTCGTACTGAAAGTGAATGCGTTTGTGACACCAATTATCTGTCAACCCTTTAACATAACCATTTACTAATTTCATGGGATATCAGTGAGGAAGTGATTCTCTATCAAACACATTGGACGTTTTGGATCTTCATTAATTGGGATCTTTGGCACGTACGTTGGGGGAAAATACTTTAGCATCTGTTGATTTTATGGGATCTTTGTATCAATATAGTTGTGTAGTACATATTTTTTGCATTTAATACATGTGTTTGTCACTCTAGTCATTAACTCTGTACCAGTACATAAGCCACTGGCAGTTCATTGTAAATGTATACTCTGTTGAGGTTTCAATGACCTCTCCAATTCCATGTCCAATGTCATTTAATAAAACTATCTTCTTATTTTAGAAAATGCAGACTGGAGCATACTAAATACATGTATATCTTAACATGATTATCATTAATTTAATCAAGGTGATTCTCCAGTAATCATATTCTTCTCTGGATATTTTTGTAAATAACCTTTGTTGTAAAATACTTCCAGTGAGAATACATTTAAAAAGTGTGCTTATATTGTACATCTGTGATTATATGCAATATTTGTCTTAAAAAAAAACATTGTAAAACAGTGAATTTTTTATTTTGAAAATATAGATTTGATGTATGAAAAATTATGATGTTATCAATTTTTTTTTGTAATTATTTGGCACTTATTATTTCAATTTTCATTGTACACGTATTTGGAATTTGGAATCCTGGAATTCCATGGATTTCCATGGAATTCCTTAGATTTACAAACATCCTGGAATTCCATGGATTTCCTCCGCAAATTTCCATTCTGGCATTGTTCCGCTCTTTTCCAGGCTAGATTAAAAATTCCAAATCATTCCGAAAAAAGTTCCGTCCCAATACTCCGGAGAATTCTTAAGAATTCCACGGAACAAAAATTCCATGGAATTCCATGGAATATGCTTTGGAATTCCATGGAAGTTGCGGAAAACCTACATTAGGGCTGACTTCTCGCGTGTTTATTTTTCAGTTTTTAAAGAAAAAACACAGAAAATTGCTAAATTTTTATTGACATTTTTGAAATAATTTTCAAATGCATATTTTCAATGGTAAGAACAGTTATTTTATTGTTTTAGGAACTGAAAGCACAAACAGTAAAAAAAGAGTATTCTATTCATTCATTTCATCGAATATATTCTGATGTGGAAAAAGGGAACATCACGACTTTTTGAATGTTGCAACGGGAAAACTTTGTACATTGCAACATTATTCAAATGCTTAAACAACACAGTAGTTCCGATTGAATACGATATTTGTGACGGTGAATTCTATGATAAAAGAAGGCAAATCTGTTGCGACCGGTCCACGCTCTCAGTATATCTTCCTATCAGTCCAATGTTGTGGCTCCTCTTTGATTGATAGACATGTAAAGCAATGCTGTATTTTTTCTGGGTCCGCCTACGTTCAACCAAAAACAGGACACTGCTGTGGAGGACGTAAGTAAACCTTAAATAGTTGTCATACTCTGAAAAAAAAACAACACAACAGATTTGAGCAGAGGATGCTGACTCCTGGATGGCAACTGATCCTGATCATATCTCTAATGTTTTGGAGGTCTGTGTTTGCTCTGCTCCTATTTTGTATTGTTAAATGGACTTTTGAGCTTGAATACTGTTCATCATCTCCATATAAATGTATATTTTTCATTACATGATATGACCATGATTGTATGTTCAAAGTAGTTAAAATCTCGTTCACTTTATAAATAGTTATATTGTGCATGTAAATATTCCAGAACTTTATCAGCAGAAATCAGAAATCTGCTGCAAAGGCAATCGAATTACTGCTGATGAAAAAATACGATGTTGCGGCGATGATTTACAATTCTTCTTTTTAACTTTGCTGTCATTCTGAAAAAATTGCAACTCCATTCAATAAATAGAGTGAGAAATGTTGTCAAGGTTCGTAACTGTTGACACTACTAGACAGATATTTTTTATTGTTTTAGATAGGTTCGATGATATCTTTATATTTTGATTTACAATTTTTCTAGGTTTTGTGTTTTCCGTGAAGGATCTGCCAAATCCGAAATATTGTGGAAACCGAGTTTATTCGTCACGAAGACAAGTTTGCCAAAGTGGTATGATAAAGAAAAAGAAGAAAAGGTAACAATGCTTGCAGACGTCAACGATGAAATTTAACTACGTAAAGAATTTTAAATTTTCAAGTTGGTGAAAAGCATGAGAACTAGAATTCATTCACCATCTTTTCATCCAAGAATAATGTTTAATAAATTTAACAAGTTGTGATTATACGTGCAAGAAAATCTTTTTCCGAACCTTACATGTATCTCTTGATAATACCCTGGTAATACATACATGTTAATTCAATAATAAAAATCTTTAAGTGTTAAAAAAGAAAGAAATTCACTCTTTGTAGTTGCTCTGGGGACAGTCTGTCTGAAAATTCCATTACGAAGGAGAGTGTATTCCCTTCTGTCCAGAACCTCTTTCCTGGCATTAGTGCAAAACTCCAGAAATGGAAGGGAAAGAAAGGCGCCCCAGTGATTTATGTTAACCTTCCTGAAGCCAACATTTACGTAGGAAAAGTTCGAAATCAATCTTCTCCGAAGGATGAACGTACTAATTAAATAAATGTCAAAGAGAGAGAGAGATTTTATAATTTAAGATGTAAAATGTATATCCTGCTTATAATTTACAAATGTTTTTTTTCTTTTTCGTGAATAAAATCAATTGTAAGATATCTTTGATATTGACATTAATTAAAATTTTAGGCTTCCATCGGCAATCAATAACCATGAGAATTAACACTGTATTTATGAAAAACGTGATGACTTTAACTTTTCTATCGTCATCTTCCCAAACGTATGTAGCAATTTATACCTTCATCACCTGTATATCTCATTTGATACGACACGCAAGAGCATGCTCGACCTATGTACAATTTCTAAAACGAGGTAAATTATTGACAAACAAGTTGATGAAACAAGACTATCAGCAGTTTCAATTAAAGTGTGACATGGAGGAGAGAGCATCCCCTGCTGACTGGTCAAACCTGCTGTGTGCTCCTTGTCATGATCAATGGGGAATGGAAAACGTCAGTCAGCATTTGACACAATGATAAATTGTATTTGCTGACAAGGTCACTGTATCGACCATAGAACTTACGAAATGATGACTTTAATCGAGACTGCTAATATTTTTGTTTCATCAACTTTTTTTCATAAATTTACCTCGTTTTAGAAATTGTTCATACGTAGAGCATACTCAACTGAGATTTATAAACTCCATATGCAGGTGATGAAGGTGTATTGAACAAACAAAACAAGGACTTGCATTTTATGAATTAATTAAAACGAACTTTAAGATGCGAACAGATTTATGAATAACTTGTATCCATGTTTGTAAATGCATGCAATACAAACCTAAAAATCTAGAAGAACATCAGAATATAAACATGCACCTATATATAAAAAAATATCTCAAACTCTTAAAACAAAATTTATTGTGAATAGATAAAATATTTAACCTTAAAAACCAGAAATTGATTATGATGTCTTATTTATAATTCAGAGCTGAGTTTCAATTCCATGGGGTTGATAATATGTTGATTGTAAATGATACTACCCTAATGTAGGTTTTCCGCAACTTCCATGGAATTCCAAAGCATATTCCATGGAATTCCATGGAATTTTTGTTCCGCGGAATTCTTAAGAATTCTCCGGAGTATTGGGACGGAACTTTTTTTCGGAATGATTTGGAATTTTTAATCTAGCCTGGAAAAGAGCGGAACAATGCCAGAATGGAAATTTGCGGAGGAAATCCATGGAATTCCAGGATGTTTGTAAATCTAAGGAATTCCATGGAAATCCATGGAATTCCAGGATTCCAAATTCCAAATACGTGTACAATGAAAATTGAAATAATAAGTGCCAAATAATTACAAAAAAAAAATTGATAACATCACAATTTTTCATAGATCAAATCTATATTTTCAAAATAAAAAATTCATTGTTTGTTTTACAGTGTTTTTTTTTTTTTTTTTTTTTTTTTAGACAAATATTGCATATAATCTCAGATGTACAATATAAGCACACTTTTTAAATGTATTCTCACTGGAAGTATTTTACAACAAAGGTTATTTACAAAAATATCCAGAGAAGAATATGATTACTGGAGAATCACCTTGATTAAATTAATGATAATCATGTTAAGATATACATGTATTTAGTATGCTCCAGTCTGCATTTTCTAAAATAAGAAGATAGTTTTATTAAATGACATTGGACATGGAATTGGAGAGGTCATTGAAACCTCAACAGAGTATACATTTACAATGAACTGCCAGTGGCTTATGTACTGGTACAGAGTTAATGACTAGAGTGACAAACACATGTATTAAATGCAAAAAATATGTACTACACAACTATATTGATACAAAGATCCCATAAAATCAACAGATGCTAAAGTATTTTCCCCCAACGTACGTGCCAAAGATCCCAATTAATGAAGATCCAAAACGTCCAATGTGTTTGATAGAGAATCACTTCCTCACTGATATCCCATGAAATTAGTAAATGGTTATGTTATAGGGTTGACAGATAATTGGTGTCACAAACGCATTCACTTTCAGTACGAAGGCTCAGAAAGTTGGATGATGATCATTCCCACAGACACTTCAAACTTTCCTTGCACAATTTCTGAAAGAAAAGATGACCATTAAGATGCATCATTATTGATATCCATATAAATATTTGACAAATAATGAACTAAAACTATACAAAACAATTGGTTTTCAGAATTTCTCGACCTGGCAAATCAGTTTAGTACGTAGAATATGAATTCACTATCTTGCAATTTTTTGTTCAAATTAGGATTAATTCTGATAAATATAAAAATGTGAAAAGTTTATAGATGACAGACAACACCAGACACTGAGAAAAAAACTTACTTAGGCCTTAAAATGGTTCAGGTGAGCTTAAAAGAAAAGGTTAGAGCTCAAGCTCAATGCCTGACTGATACTGAAAAAGACGTGATTTTATTGATTTGAAAATAATTAAGAAATCTGACCTTTTGGTGTTTTTTTTCATACAGCTCTTGTCCTTGTGAGCATAGGGATTCCTGTAGAATGGATGGTTACTTCATAGTAGATGACTGCAGCATGTTTGATCTAAAATAATTATGCATGCCTGTGCAGTAAGCACGTTTAGATTACCTGTCAGAATTCATTGTTTTAAATTATTAGAATAAGGAATTTAAGCGTGTTAAGAATATAAACCTTTAAATTTTGTTTACATGGCAAACTTGCAATAATTTTTTTTTAATCTTATGCTAATAGACATGGATTAATAAAATCAAAGTTAGTTTACTTGGTTTGAATGATAATTTGAGCTAGTTCTCACCATATTCACAAGCCTGGTGACTGATTGGCTAAGCATCTACATCCACCAAGTTATAAAACGCCATCGCTGTGGTGATCATCTCAGGCACTATGCAGCAACTATAAAATAATTAAAATGAGAGCTGAAAATGATCATGAACATGCATAAAAAATATATAATTTATTACATTGTACATCATACTCTGTAAATGTTATCTTAATGCTTTACATCAGTTCGATCCCAAACGAGGAAATTCGAGTTTAAATCCATGATCTTAAATTATTACAAAATTGAAATAGTGAACTAACGATTTCACCGTCGGGCAGTTTATGTGAGGTGTCCAGACTAATGAACAGGAGCAGAAGCGTTCTTCATTCAAGGACACATAAAATACTGTACAATATTGTACCTACCAGGTCTTAAAATGTCTTCATCTTCTTCCATCCAAAGCTAAACATGATTCCCCTGTTCTAGACACCCTCTTTCCAACTTTCCTTCTGTGCAACATCAACATGGCATTCGATATTTTTGAATTTCGGCGTGTTGTTTAAATAATTGTTCATCGAGCCCGACTTCGAGCCCGATGTTATTGTACTATTATTCGACAGTTAAAAATTTCCACAGTTTTCCAGCGCAGAAAATGACTAAGTTTCTCATTTTATCATTTTTTTCCCAAAGAATTCCACTACTTTCCAAACCAAAAAATGTCTAAGTCCAAATTATGAATTTTTTTTTCAAATTCCAAAATATTCCAAAAACTTCCAGACACACTTTTCAAGTTTGGTATAGAAATGATTGGAATTCCACGGAATTCCAAAACTTTTCCAAACCCTATGGAAAATCTACATTAGGGTAACTCTTAAAACCATCTGCATGGTATTTGTTCCGGGTATGAGACCTTGAGAGTAATAAGATCAGTTGATTATTGGGTCTATTGTGACATTTACATGACATAATAGTCGTCAGACAACACACTTAGAGTGCGGAATGTTCGTAAGTACATGACTATATGGCGAAGAGGTCGAGGTCCCTTGAATAGAATACCTTTGGTTGTTTGTTTTTTTTTGTCGTTCAATCGATTAAGATGGGTATCATTAGAAGGTTAACAAACGAAATCATTCCAAATGAAAGAAAGATCAGTATTTCAACATTTTTTAAAAGTTTATCTCAAACTAAAATACAAAACGAAATCCAAGATGAATCTCGTAGCATCTGATGCTGCTCTTTGTTAGTATACAGATATGTCCTATATATTAGATAGGTACTCAGGTGACCGCACAGGTGGTATTCATATGCCGACTGTTAATTTTAATTAGGTAGGATGAAATCACTGTTGTTTATGGGTAACCAATTTTCGTGGATTTTCTTGGTAAATTTAATCAACGAACTTTCATCCCCACGAAGATTAATTTTGTCAATATAATATATGATCATTTAGTTCTCTGAATATAATTGCTACGAACTAACAACATTTTCCTTACCCTCAAACATTTACCAACAAGAATTAAGGTGATTTCGCAGTTATTGAGGCACATTGTACATGTAATCTCAAAGTTTTCTTTGGTTATGTTTTTGTTTTTGATAAGTGAAAGACAACCTTATTATCTCATTTAAATATTTTAATTATGGATCTAAATGTACAAGTTATAATTGTCCTCTTAAAACAGTAAAAGATATTTTAAAAATAGACTTTTTAAATAGCACAGTATCTGTAGAAAATTTATTTAAATGCTCTTTACATATTTAATATCATGCACTTGTATTCATACTTACTAAACAAATAAATATATCATTGTTACATTAATTTAGAAAATATATAGATCAAATTGAGAAATCGATATCTTCTTTATGGCACTTAGGGGGGTTGTACAATTTTTAGTTGAAAAAGTAATGTATATCAAAGTTTGGGAGGAAGACCCCCTACTATCTTTAAAAATGTATTTATAGTACAAAGTTCATTTTGTACTTTTGATATTATGACTGCCGATATGCATATGAAACAAAATGTGCAGTCATTAAGATAGCATTTCAATGTATTCATCTGTAAGGTATTTGATTCGTGGAAAAAAATTATCAACTTTTAATTGTTTTAAGTCCAGCCATTGCTCGAAAAGTATAAAAGGCGAAACATAAACGATGCAAGGGATTTTTTGATAGATTGATTGTATATTGTTTGACGTCCCTCTCGAAAATTTTTCACTCATATGGAGGCATCACTGTATGCCGGTGAAGGGCTTCAAATTTTGACCTTTACTCGGCACTCAGGGCCATTGAGCATTGAGTGATCTTTATCGTGCCAACGCCTGCCGCTGACACGGGCTTCGGTTTTTAAGGTCTCATCCGAAGGACCCACAACTCTCACTTCGTGCCGAGCGCATGGCGAAGGAACACTTGCTACCCACTTGATCGACTAGGTCAGTCACAGCCGAGATACGAACTCACGACCTCCCGATATAACGTACGGAGCGAGCGCCCTACCGACTGAGCAACCGTAGACGGTAGGGATGTTTTGAAATTCTAGATTAAGGCATTTATTTTATTTTTTTTTTGCTTAATGTCAGATTATATGACATTTTGGTGGAAATATTTCAACAAAAAATTAAAACAACGTGTATAATTTTGTTTAATATCGTGATTAATTTCAAACTTATTTAGAGTTTGAAAATGCAAAAATCGGAATGCAGTGCAAATCCTCATTTCATAGTTGATTTGATTTGAACATATTTTATTATATAACAAATACATAAATGGATTGGGCAGCAGGCATAGCCTATATAAGCCCTCTCCATAGGTACAAGGTTAATTAATACACATAATAACAGGTTTCATAGTTGATCAATACTAATTAATAATGCCTGTAGTCATATTTTCTGTAAAATGGCGCAAATGCAGAAAAATCCTGAAAGTTACATTGTTCCATATTCAAATTTATGAACATTGTGCTTCATTGAAAAGAAATCAATTTCAAAAGACATGCAGTCCTCATTAAAAAAAAAGAAGGATGTCTTCGTGTGACGTCACAGAGCAGAGAGCAGTTAACGATAAAGTTTTTGGTGTACACTGGATAATTTCAGAAAAAAATATGAAAATGCTGGAGGAAGCAGAAAATATATCAAAGCGAGCCATGCACGTGTGTGGTACTTGAATGATAGAGACTCTATATCAGACGAGGAAACTGATTATATGTAAAAATCTGTTCAAAAACCTTAACAAATAGTATTGATTGTATATTGTTTAACGTCCCTCTTGAGAATTTTTCACTCATATGGAGACGTCACCGTATACCGGTGAAGAGCTTCAAATTTAGACCTATACTCAGCACTCAGGGTCATTAAGCAGTGAAGGTTCTTTATCGTGCCAGCGCCTACCGCTGACACGGGACCTACGTTTTTAAGGTCATATCCGAAAGACCCGTGACTTTCAGTCCTGATGCCGAGCGCTTGGCGAAGGAACAGTCGCTACCTATTTTTACGTCTTAGGTTTGACGCGGCGCCGGGAACGAGAATCGAAAACGGGCCTCCCGATCACGAAGCGAACGCTCTACCACTAGGCTACCGTGAACGGTTAACAAAAAGTAAAGTCATACTGAGAGTTAGGCATTTCACAGCCGCTGATCTAATGAAAAACATATTTACGCAATAAAAAATATAACATTGCAAGTAGAATTATGCTACTGATACAAATGTTGGCAAAAAGAAATTTCAAATGATGAAGAAACATTTTAGTAGGTGCGATAGAATTGGGCCAAACTGTGTAAAATGTAAAGGATATTGAAGAATATTCATTTGCGAAAACAAAAGATTTCTTTAAACGTGGTTCACAACAATTCGAAGTTTTGCTTAAATGATGCTTCATATATGGACCTGTCAATAAATAAAAATATGTGTTTTTTTCCTGTGAACAATGTAATAAAAAAGAAACATGGGTACATGGGTATATTAGCATATGTACACACAGCATGTAATTTTTCATGTTATTAACAAATGCGTTCAAGCTAGAAAATTCAGACATATTGACATTTTTTCAATAAGATCACTCGCATTTTTATTAACAGTTTCTTCTATTAGAAAATGAATAAAAATAAAGGCATAAATTAAGAGATAACATGAATACATGATACAGTACAGAGCTGTTAAGTAGAATTGGTATGCACTTACTACTATTTAGTAGATGTTATGGATTATGGGAAAGACAATTTTAATATTCACATAAATAGTAATTTAAAAAGACCTCCCTAAGTAGTTGATAAGGGCGCTTCAATCAAACCCATGATCTTGTTTTGTAAAAAAGTTTTTAAACCATATTATACTTTTATGTCAATAACACAAGATATCTTACTCCAAATTACATGGAAAACCCCTTACCCAAATTCACATTCATTTAAACTTTCATAGGAAATGTTTTGGCAAACTATTTATTACATGTACCATTGCTTTCTGCGATAATTAATCTACACAGCCATATACAAAAGACTTGTCTATATTTTTGTTTTTTTTCCCCATAAATATTGTTCAAACTCTGTTAGCCTATTTATAAAATCGTCTAATGGCACAAATCAGGTGCTAGTGTGTATCAAATATAAAGAGCAGATTCCTACATTCAAAGAAGTAGGAACCCATTTCTTTGATAAGACCGTATTAACTGATATTTTATGTTAACGTATGCTGTAAGGGAAATAAAATGATTACTAACTTCTGAATTGCAAGCATTGTGTGCGTTTTGAAGGCTGCTATTGGAAGGTGGTCAACCAATGAGATATTCAACACTGTATATAATGTGTTATGTTAATAAGGTTGTAATATTATCCATAAACAATAATCAGCGCTGCTTACAATTAAAAAAATAACTGCCACAAAAACTTTTCGTCTTTTGAATATTTATACCTGGGTAAAAAAGAAATAGATTGTAAATGCATTATTAAAAAGCGAACAATGGAAATCTGATTTTTTTTCCCAGTGCATGTGGAAAAAAAACCACGTTATATCATGGGAGATTATGAGCATTAGACACGATTCACGTTACAAAACAATGCTAACAGATACTTCCTCTTTCTAATTTTCATTTAAGAATTTCCTTACAGCTGGTAAAACGTGAAATATATAGGTACAAAATGAATTTCACCTGATGACATGCTTCAACAAAGAGTATGCAAAAATGTCAAGCGTCTGCAAAAAATAGTAGCTGAGAAAACTGTTAGGAAAAATTTGCACGGACAAACGAACTGATAAACAAGACAACATATTTCATGCCTAAAATGCAGATACAAAGAGTAGTTATTGAGAAAATTGCGACAAAAATTTGTTACGGGTATATAGACAAAAGAAATTAATTAACAACCTATATGACTCTTTTTGATTAGATAAAAGTAAAAAAAAAAAGTTAAACAATTCCCTTCTTCAAAGATATTCTACAAAGTGGTATATACCACTTAAACATTTTTGTTGAACCATATTTATCAAAGAGAGTATTCATCAAATATTGTTTTAACCTTCAAATGCAATTTTATTTATTTTTCACTCAGAAACTCGAATATAGTTACGAAATATAGGGTACAATTACGTAATTATGGCAGGTAATGGCAATTAAAAAACATTCAAATAATAAAGTTTAAAGAGAAATTAAATGCTATTTTAGAGGGTTTTGTGCATGATCACTGCGTGTAATCAATATAAGATTCATCTGCAGATCTGACATTTCATCCTAGTAAAAAGTTGATTATTTGTAATGGAAAAGTTTTGTCAATAACGCAGTCTACAAACAAACAATTAAGCTTATTGTTACGATCACTCTTTCGGATTTCCAGAAAAAAGTGCAAAATTTTCCTTAAAATCAAATCCGTAATTAGCCATGCCTTTACAAAAGATTTAAGTGTTAATTCATTCACAGTTACTTTGCAATTTCCTGTTTTAGAAAGACATGGAGAGGAAAGAACATTTGCTGTTACTGTTTGTTATTTTTGCTACACAATATTGTTACTGCTATGGTGAGTTTATAAGCATTTATTAATAATACTTAAAATGAAATTTGACCAAAAAATACCCACCCAGTTTTGCATCGAACAATCTCTTCATTAAACAGTTATCAAAACATGTGTTTTTACGGTAAACGATTTGGTCGTCGAGAAGAAGAATTTTAACGATTCTGAGATTTGCTGTAAACATGGGGTCCATGACAAATATAATGTAGGAGAAAGGATTGAATGTTGCGGAGGTAAAAATTTTATTCTATTGATATTCATTAATTCATATGCAAAATATATATCTTGTTTTGTACATTGATGACCCATTTCTCATACATAATGTTTAAATTAAATGAATATGAAAAAATAGATATTCGTACGAGAAAAAAGGGAACTATTTTTATCTTATTCTCTTCTTGAGCCGATAAATTTAATAGTTTTATTAAATACGCATCTAATTTTAATTCTACCTGCAGTATCAACCTTTTTAACGTTCTTTTTTATTCACTTTTCAAAGAATCAATGGAACATTTTATACATTATGCCAAAAATAAAAAGAATAGCAGAAAAATTCTCTGATAAATGCAAATCTCTGTACTGGCGGGTGTTTACTTAGAGTTTTGGTTGAGAAAAAACAGGGACGAATTACTTTTAAAATGACCATTAGAAGGATATCTTATGTAGAAGTTTGTTTCAAATGTACAAAATAACAAATTTATAATTTCAATTTGAAAATATAATGTATTGTTTTCAATTAAAAGAAAGAAAGAAAATGGAAAGAAAGTATGCAAAAAAAAAAAACCCACCCATGAATTTAGTTCGATGACGAGAGAATTCGCAACAGCATATGGACAATGCAAAGTTTATTAAGTCTAAATAAAATAAGAATCTTGTTTCAATCGATCAGTCTTGATATTAGTGATATTTTTTAAAAAAAGTAAAAGGACAAGATAGGTTATGACCTGTTTTTGGCCCAAATTTTTAGTGCCTTTTAGAATTATGCAAAAGTCTGTTAATAAAAAAAAACTGTTGTCATCCCTACCTCAAAATGAGTATTAGTTCTAAGTTTTGGAATACACAAAGGTCAGGGAGAGGTCTGATAATATGTCAATTGTCGAATTTTGTCATTTTTATGCGAATTTTCATCTATTTTTCAGCAAATTTCGTCTGGAAAATAAAGAGCACAAGCTTGCCTATCTACCAAATTCATATATTTAATACACTGGTATATGAAGCAGATTACGTATAAAAAATTCTCAGATAGGCAAGCTTGTGCTCTATGGTTTCCAGAGAGAAAATTAACTCAAATATGATGAAATTCCACCTGAGATGAGGAAATTCGGGAAAAAGGTCCTACTTCTGCACCCTCGTGTGCCTCCTTGAAAGCTTTGAATCCAAATTAGTGCTGATTTTAAAGCAAGCATCATTTTAAGTTCTTACCTACAAACTATAACTATTTTACCAGTGGTCTGGTTTTTACATCAAATAAGTGGTCATGTTATGCCGTTACCCTACCTTGTCCTTTAAATAAACATTGCAGAGGATCATCGGACTTAATTTTTTTAATAATTTTATTATTGATGGTGTAATTCTTTTTTTTTAATTTAGCGAAGAAATTTTATGATATTTCATTAATTAAAAAGAAAGTCACCAAGACAATGACTTAAAAATGAAGAGAAATATTTAAAAAAATATATTTTATATCTAATACTGTAACTGTACAATACTATAATTGTACAATAAATAACTTTGCTTTCCTTTCATTGGATGCTTTTTTGGCCTCTGAATAGACGTCAAAATTAAGAATGAAATTACCGGTATTCTTTTACTTAGGTAAAAATAACACACATTTATATAATAAATAGCAAAATAGGTTTTGAATAATCATTTAAAGGAGAGTGTAAGAAAATTATACATATATAATCATAGGAAGAACATACCGACCATATGTAGACATCTGCTGTGGAGAAAAGGTGTACGAAGGGACAATTAGCCAAAGCCCAGCTCATGAAAAAAGGTCAAAAGACGAAAATGGTAAGCTTCTACATATTTGATTACGCATAATGTGATCGTCAAAATGTTTTTATTCATCAAAACCTATATATTTTCTTTTTTATGCATATCAACGGGTTTTCATACCAGTATTTATAGTATAGCGCTTAATTAATGTAACTATAATGCAAAAAAGTGCGTACATGCATGTAAGAAAGAAAAGAATATAAATTTCTACTAGAAGAATAGAATTTTGTTTATTTAAACGAAGTACATCATTGTCGGTAACCATGGGAGACTTTTTAAAGCGCACTTTAATACTGAGAAGTTGTGGTATTTATTAAATGTAAGCTCCATACATACAAGCCCAAGTATATAAACTGGATTGAACTGGGTTTTTTTTTCTATCTGATCATTTATAAGTAAAATATTAATTAGTTGCATTTCAGTCCAAAGTTTTTTTTTACAAACTAGGTTAATTTTAAACTTTATCTGACATACATTTAAATTTAAAGGTGGAATTAATTCTTTACTGAACGTGCCAAACCTAATGTGCTGTGGAAATGACACCTACACACCTCGGACAGAAATTTGCTGTGAAGGCGTTGTTAAAAGGGCAACTGGAAGGTGAATAATTTTAAAATGATAAGAACAAGCACAAGTGAGTTATATTAGATAGAGAAAATCATTTTGAAACAATATACATTTATTGTATGATAGTGAGTGAGACATAAAGATTTCTTCGTCCATAAAAAACAATATTCCCCGAGAGCGTAGCACAAAATAAAATAAGAATTGTAACAGTTGTAATATGCTTAATTTCGATGCATAATGCAGTCATTTTATTCTGTTTCTTTTCTATATAAAATTTGATTTTGTCATACACCTGAAATGTTGATTACTGTATTTCTTTTTGGATATTGAACTTTAAAAGAAAAATGCAAATGTCACCGAATGTCAAATATTTTTTTCAATAAATGTAGTCATATATATTATGAAATTGAAAACAGGACATATTACTTACACGAATTAATATATTGTAGAGTGGCCAGCATTTTCTTTGATTTCCTCTTCAGGAATATGATGAAATTTAAGCGAAGAAATATGTCATCGCCGTCGTATATCAATGTTGCTCAGTTCAACATTTGCATGTACCTTGGAAAACAGCTTGAATGAAATACATGTTATTTAAAGAGCAAATGATGAATGATGGAGAAATGAATATCTTGATTTAAACGATAAAATGTTTTATTGTTGACTTGCAAATTGACGGCGGCAACCATTGCAGAAAAAAAAACCATTATACGTGTAACCAGCAAAAGTAAAATATTTGAATTAGATCTCTGCAACCGATAAGCGTATAATTTGGCAGGACATTTTTTTCATTTCTCAAGTTATATTTGAATGTGATCGTATAAGTTAGATTTATTTGAACTTGGAATTGTATGAGTGAGCTGTGTGTAATTGGATGTGTCATCGATGGAAGAGCCCAATTTAGACTAAATTTCATACAGATGGCTTAAAAAAGAGTTCTACTTAGTTCAGCTTCATTTAGGATAGATGCTTGAGTTTCTGATTGACAATATCTGTGTGGTTTTGAAAACCAGGTCTTCCGAAAATCTACTGGAATTCCCATTGGTTCCAATTGCGCCCAGTTATGAGCATACCTATTTTTGTATTCATATGAAGCAGAATTTATCCGAAATCTTATACATGAATAGAAAACACTTGCTGTGACCTTCAACTCGACATTTAGATAAATCGACGACGCATGCATTGTCAATTAACAATGGTAACTTCCAATCTTAGGTCAATACCATATATTCCGGTGAGCTTGAAATAAAAGATACCACAGAGTCTGACAGATCTGTTTCATATTTGCATCTTTTACTTGGAAAAGACGTTAATGGTAATCGAACTACCAAGCTCTATGATAGATGTGATGAATTTAACTTTACAATCGTCAAGGTCTCGTACTTATGCAACATAATACCTTCATCACCTGCGTACAGAGTTTATATTATTTAGTTGATTAGATGTGCAAGAACATACGTGCGAACAATTTCTGAAACGAGGTAAATTAATGACAAACAAGTTGATGAAACAAGAATATTAGCAGTCTCATTTAAAGTTATCATTTCGTTAGTCTATGGTCGATATACTGACCTTGTCAGCAAATACAATTTATCATTAAGTTAAATAAAGACTGATATTTTCCTTCTAATTGTTAGTCCATTATTTAAACACCTGAATTGACGAAAGTATTTCCCGATTTTAACAAGTTGCATACGGTGTGTGTGACCGATCAACAGTGGATACTCAGTCCTCCATAGTGATCCCACCTCTGATGTTTTTGCAAGTCTGTGTTTGCTCTGATCCTATTTTTTGTATTGTTTTATGGACTTTTGATCGGGAATAGTGTTCGTTATCACAATCTTTTTCCTAACAGTCAATATGTTGACATAAATTGTAATAAGCATCGAATCCTTTAAATATATTTTAAAATTAAAGGCCCCATGGTCAGGAGTTCTGGTGCTAGGACGGGTCTCTGATAATTATATAAAGTGAAAATGCATTATTTTGTGTGTTTTTTAAAAATCTTCCGCTACATCTAGATACAATTCCCGTTAAACTATTTAAAAAGTTATGATGAGGAAGGGTGCTTCTTCGGAAATTGTGAGTATAATGGCTCCTCCTGGGAAAGGGGTTCTTGTGTTGTGATGGGGTTCTATTGATTACATAGAGAAAAGCATTAATTTTGAAAATCGTCTCCTTTTATCCTTTGTATTAAATAAACTAACTGTTTAGTATATAGAGAGTACCTCTTCCAAAGTTGTGACTTTCATGACCCCTGGTCTGGTGTAAGAGTTGGGCTTTACTAATTTATTAGTGAAAAATAATTCCCGATTATGACAAGTTGCATACACATGTACGGGTCTAATGATCATATTCTAAAACTGAACTAATGCTTTGACATATGCTCTTTGGTATTAATCAAAGATTAATGATGACCGAGCATATCTTTTCCAAAATTGTTAAATGTGTGACCAAGGGTTAGTGGTCCCTGTAGGGTGGGGTTCTACTGATTATATAGTAGAAATGCATTTTTCTTTGTTCCTCTGCTCTGCCTCTAGCTATCAAACTAAGCATGTATTGTGTATAGTTAATGAGCAATGGTTCCTCTTTCAAAATTATAAATTTCATGGCCCCTGGTTTAGAATACGAAACAAATTCAACTGTTTGAAAGTTATAACATGATATTCAAATGACCTTAAAGCCTGGAAGTGTCTTGTTTAAAATGCTATGACGCATGTCCTGGTTAATCATAGGTACCCTGTAATGATGATCTAGTCTGTAACTTTAAACATTTGATCTCCTTTAAAAAATTTGTTTAATTTATTAACGGTGCTTTTCCTCCCTGCATTATTATTTTCAGCCATGATGGATTCGGTCCTGATTTTCCGGTTTAGATAAATACGATAAAAGCACAGCTCAAAATGCAAATACACCAAAGGCAAACCGAATTTACAAAACCAAAATAATGAATATTAAAAATGGCAGACAATATGTATAATAAAATAGCGAACCTTTCCATGCAGATATGTAGTGAATCTCACATATTTCAGTATGTGTGGGAAAAGATTATGGAAAATCATGAAACTGCAATCAAAAACCACGCTATAAAACATATGAAATGGACAATTTTTATCTCCCCAGAAAAATGATTTGTAATTTCTTAAGAGATGTCATTCTAAAATAATCTAACACTGCTCAACTTTGTATTAAAGTAGATTACATGAAGAGAAAAAATGGTAGGCGTGATTTGGTACCTTTGTCCATGTAAAAAATGTTAAGCATCTACATTTTACGATCGAGGTGGTTTTCACAATGTGGCGACACTGGATCATTTCATGCCTTATTAGTAAAAAAAGGATAAACATCTAAATTTCCACAATCGTTTTACATTATTTCAATTTTCTATTCAGGCAGAAATTGATCACTGATGCATGAGCTACATTAACATATTTATGCACATATCATAACAAAGGACAGGTAATGCTAAATAAAATAAGACTTTCAAGTAAATAGAGAAATGCAAAATTAATATACATCTTGTTGCAAAGGGGTTCAGGATTGAGAGAGAGTTATTTTTACCCCAAATTAATATTTGTTTGGGTTTATCGTTTGAACATCTAAACATTTGTCATTTAATTGACAATTTGATATATGAGAGTAACCTAAAATATGATAATGAATGTAAAGTGATATCAACAAAACAGTCGAATAAATATCTATATTCGCAAATTAAGTAGTCATCGGAAAATAGAAGCTGTGTCAACATATTTTTGTCACACATCTGTAGGAATTTATGGAAAAATGGTAGGCGTGATTTGGTACCTTTGTCAATGTTAAAAATGTCAAGCGTCTACGTTTTAAGAGGTGGTTTTTACAATTTGGCGACACTGGATCATTTCTTACCTGATTAATAAAAAGGATATATATATATATATATATATATTTCCACAATATTTCAACATTTTATATTAATTCTCGATTCACTCAGAAATTGATCACTGGTGTATGATGTACATTTACATGTTTATGCACATATTATAACAAAGTACAGGTAATGCCAAATAAAAAAAATATTCAGGTAAATAGAGAAATGCAAATATACATCTTGTTGCAAAAGGGTTCAGGATGCACAGAGAGTTATATTTGATTGGAGTTATCGTCTGAACAACAAAACATGTGTCATTTAAATGGCAATTTTATAAGAGAGTGGCCAAAAATATGTTAATGCCTGTAAAATGATAGCAACAAAACAGGCAACTAAATAACATTTTCCTCAAATAAAATAGAATTCGGAAAATAGAAAATTGAAGCTGTGTCAACATATTTTTCGCATACCTGTTGGAAATTATGGTAAACACAAACCTACATTCTTTCCTACGCAATCTCTTTTAAACGTTGTTTATTAGACGGAGACATGAATTATCTCAGTACAATTTTTATTTTGCATAATTTTGAGACTGTTCTTCTGAGGATTTTCCAAAAGAATAACCTGCAAAATTTACCCACTTATTTTCTACATCTTGATAAATACCTTGGAAATGTACAAAGTTCCGTTGTAGTTAATAGAATAGTAGTTATTCTAATTGTATAACAGGACACAGACAGCAAAAAATAATATCTGATAGATATTGTTCCAAAATAATACAATCATGTTACAACTGATCACATTTAATAATATTTTTGATTTAATTTGATGCACCTTTGTTTATGTTTAATTTCCGATTTCCTCTATTGAGATGGCGAATATGAAAACAAGTCAAAATAAACAATACTACTACAATTAGTGAAACATATTACATTGATGCAAAGCAAGAAGTTGCATCAAGTTGGCAGCAAAAACTTTGAACACGGACCTCCGAAACATCAGAGGTGGGATTAGGTGCCATGGACGAGTGAGCATACCCTGCTGACCGGTCACACCTGCCATGAAATAATTTTATTTTAAAACAGACAAAATAGTATTTGCATTTGAAATTTATATAACAATCTTGTATAAAATATTAACAACATTGCAGGATAAAGGTTTGTTACTACGCAGCATTGTTAAGACT